GAGAGGGTGTCCGGGGGCCCCGGGCCCGGCCGGCTGTGGGGAAGGGGGCTGAGTGGTCTCGGTCCCCGAGAGGGGAGGGGCGACAATTTCTGTCGGCCGAGCGAAAGGGGTTTAAAGGGCGGCTCTTAAAGGAGCCGCAGGAGGGGCCCGGGCCGACCGAGGCACGCACCCCTTCCCCAGCCCCCTTCCATTGCGCTCATCCGGGCGCTGGGCCCAGAGAGGAATGCGGAGGAAAGAGGCATTTGTGGGGCGGCCTCGGGGACAGAGCCCCGCTAGGGTTGTGGGCGCAGCGGGGCGGGCAGGGGTCTGGGAGTGTGAGCGCTGGCGCGCGGAGCTGGGGGGAGGGGATGGCGTGGGAAGTAGAGGGTTAAAGGTGGGGCCGGCCTTACAAACGCGCGCACACACTCCTTACTCAGACCCAGTCACTCGCGTTTCCCTGGCACTTAGATGGGCCTGTGGGTGGCAGGGGATGGCGGGGGATTGAATTGGAGCTTGCGCCGGAGCCCTTTGCATCCCAAGCTCCTGCAGCCGGATCTGGGGGCCCCGCTGTCTGAACTCACAGCTCCCCGCCGAGCCCCCTCTCCGGGGCGCACACACGCTTCAGCGCGCGCACACACCTCGGACAGTCCCCTCGCGTCTCACGTGACACGCGGCCCCAACGTGCCACCCTGCCCACGCGCTCACGCACGCGTGCACACACACCAGCCTCCCGACCGCTGCCCCACTCCGTCCCGACGCCCCTGCGACCCTGAAGGCACTCATTGACTGACACACCTACACTCATTCACAGACGCACACTCCCCCCACACGCCAACCCCAGACACACATTCATAACCAGGCCCGCGAGAAGTACACACGCACCCCCTCACTGCCTACTCCTGCTTTCGGGAGCCTGAGTCATTCCTGCCCCCTCGTAGGGTTCCCCATTTCCCGGCGCGCAGGCACCCTGAGACGGCCTTGGGAATTCGTTCGCGTCCCCCTCCACCTGGGCCCCCTTCCCCAGTTTGCGCCCCGTGACACTCAGCCAAGGACTTCCTGTGGGTCCCAGGTCAGGGGCCAAGGGGTCCTGGACGGCTGCCACAACCCCGGAGCGCCCGGGGGAGGCGCTTCCTTTTCCTGAACTCTGGGATCCTGCGGGAGGAAGTGGGGAAGTTGGGCGGGGGTGCAGCCGAGGGCGTGCCGACTGTGGAGGGGCCGACCCTCGCGCAGCTCTGGGCCTTCCTTGGGGAGGAGCTGGGGTGCCAGAGGCCCAGGCTAAGGAGCTTGGCGGCGAGGTATTTGGGGAAGTAAGGCCTGAGGTGGAGAAGCGCTAAGGACTGGGCCCGGCCCGGCTGGGAAGGCAGCCCTCTCCCATCCACAGGTCTCCCTGGGTTCTGGCAGGAGCCTGTCCCTGCTGCCGGCCTGGTTTACTTGTCCCTACTTGTCAACACCCTGGCAGCGGGGTCTTCACCTGGTTCCAGTCCGTTTTCCCCAAGGCGGCAGAGAGGATGGGGCTGAGGAGTCTGGGAAGGGGCCATGGGAGTCCCCGCTGAGCTTGGGGCAGGAAGCTTTTGAGTTGCATTTCAGCCGGCCCCAGGGCGTGCAGAACCAGGGAGAGGGGTACCAGGGACAAACCCTAGACAGACGGCCCTGTCCACGGTTGCTCCTGCTCTCCCAGGAGGCCCTGTGTGGGCCGTGGCCCGGCCCTCGCCATGGAGTCCATGTTCGAGGACGATATCAGCATACTGACGCAGGAGGCCCTGGGGCCCAGTGAAGTGTGGCTAGACGGTCCCGGAGACCCCTCGCTTGGGGACGACATGTGCTCTGCCTCCCACTTTGCCCTCATCACGGCTTACGGAGACATCAAGGAACGGCTGGGGGGCCTGGAGAGGGAGAACGCCACCCTCCGACGCCGCCTCAAAGTCTACGAGATCAAGGTCAGACCTTGGAGAGGAGGGCGCGCCTGACAGTGTGTGTGGGGTGGGGAGGGGTACTGAGAATCTGGCAGATACCAGGGATTCAAAAGAGGGGTCACTGTGCAGACTCTTGGGAACTTGAGGGTCTCCCATGAGAGACGTGGCTGTTCTGGATGCCGACTGTCTCCTGTTGGCTTCGGAAGGGCTGGATCTGGGATCTAAAACAGATCTGGTGGGTGGGAGATGGCTGCAGGCCCATGGGAATTGGGATCCCACTAGCCAAGGAGAATGAGGGTCAAGGGTCTGAGGCAGGTTGTGGGGTTGGGGGCACAGCCAGGCTGAGGCCTGGGCTGGGCATCCGGGAACCCGCTCTCCTGAAGCCCTACCCCACCCGCAGTACCCACTGATCAGTGACTTTGGAGAGGAGCATGGCTTTTCTCTGTATGAAATCAAGGATGGCTCCCTGCTGGAGGTGGAGAAGGTCAGCCTGCAGCAACGGCTCAACCAGTTCCAGCACGAGGTGAGCCTCCCAGGCTGGGCGCACCCCCTGAGCATCTTGCTCCAGTCTGTTTCTGATACCCTTCCCTCCACACCCCCCAGGATCTGGCCTCTGCCCCTTTGATTAGAGATGTCCAGGTCCTCCCTAAGACCAGCTGCAGCTGCTCCTGCACCTCCGTGGGGTGCTGGGAGTGGGGGTGGGGAGGTGCAGTGAGCTTCCCAGCCCCAAGTCCAGTGTGGGACTGACCCTGTGGTGGGGCCCTCTGGGCCTCATCCAGTTACAGAAGAACAAGGAGCAGGAAGAACAGCTTGGAGAGATGATCCAGGCCTATGAGAAACTCTGCGTGGAGAAGAGCGACTTGGAGACGGAGCTTGGGGAGATGGTGAGGCCTGGGGAGCCAGGGGTGCTTGAGGATGTCGCGTTGGATTGTGCTGGTTGTGTGTGTGCATGTGTGCATTTAGTTCTGTGTGTGAGGATTCCAGCCTGTGACAGTGTGCAATCCCATGTGTCACACACCACTTGTATGTGCCCTGCTTGTGTTCATGTATATCTGTGAGTGCCCGCCTGTTTGCCCTTGTGAGGGAGACTGCATGTGCTATCCATGTTGCAGTGACTGTGTGCATCCTGGCCATGCAGTGGCCCTGTGAGAACCTCTGTGTCTGTGTGTATGCCTGGCTGTCACGCTGGGGTGACCCTGTGCCCGTGAGCACTGCCCCGGGAGGCTGTGAGGGTGAGGGCAGAGGTGACCAGGAGTGTGTGACTGCTAGAATGGGCCTGTGCTTGGGTGTGCTTCTGAGTCAGGGTGTGGCTGTGCTGATGAGCAGGTCAAAATCAAGAGACAGGCCAGGCATGGTGGCCATGGCTCTAATCCCAGCACTTTGAGAGGTCAGGGAGTTTGAGACCAGCCTGGGCAACATAGCAAAACCCTATCTCTACAAAAAATACAAAAAAGAAGTTAGCCAGGCGTGGTGGTGCACGCTTGTGGTCCCAGCTACTCAGGGAGCTGAGGTGGGAGAATCACTTTAGCCCAGGAGGTGGAAGCTTTGGTGAGCCAAGATCGAGCCACTGTACTCCAGCCGGGGTGACAGAGCCAGACCCTGTCTCCAAAAAAAAAAAAAAAAATCAGGAGACATGGTCTCAGCCAACCCCAAGCCATGACCTCAGTTAAGTCACTTAGCCTCTATCCCTCCTCTGAAAAGTGGGGCAAATATTAACACCCTCACCAGGCTGTAGTGAGGGTGATGGGGCATTCATATATAGATGCTTTGCCTTCATAATCACAGATATTTATGTGGTACTCAGGGTGTGCCAGGCACTGTTCTTTTCACCTGGCATACACTAGCTCATTTTAAATCTCAAAACAACCCTAAGAGATGAGTATGGGACTGTTATCCCCATTTTATGGAACAGGTGTGTGAAGCCCGGAAGCTCTTGTCACGTATGCAAATGGAAGTTCTGATGCTCCTGAGGGGGATTGGCCTCCAAACAGGGGGGCTGAGTGTTCTTTTAAGTGTCCCTGTGTGTTAATGACAGAGCAGGGGCATTAACTTGACCTAGTCAGGGGCAACAGCCCTCAACAGCTGCATTGAGGTGGCTGAGACCAGACTTCGCACTCACGGCCACTTGGAGAGTGGGCTTGGAACATGTGATCTGGGGCCTCTGCTGTAGTTTGGGGTGATGACTCTCCAGACATGGGGAAGTCCTGGGCCTGTACAGACCCTCACCTCTGTCTCTCTCTCCAGAGGGCCCTGGTGGAGACGCACCTGCGCCAGATCTGTGGTTTGGAGCAGCAGCTGCGGCAACAGCAAGGCCTCCGGGATGCAGCCTTCTCTAACCTGAGTCCGCCGCCAGCCCCCGCGCCGCCCTGCGCTGATTTGGACCTGCACTACCTGGCACTGAGAGGGGGATCTGGCTTAAGTCATGGTGAGATCTCAGTGACCCCAACTTACTCACCTCCTAGTCCCCAACCCCCATTTCAGCATTCCTAGACACCTCCCGCTTACTTACCATCCCATTTGTAATATAATCTATTTCTCCATAATCACCCCATCCTCCCTTACCTGCTGTCCCCTCACCTCACCGCACTGTTACTCTAATTTCTCCCCTTCTAACTCGGGCATTCCGACCACCTCGTTGCAATTCCTGCGCCTGCCAGCAGAGGGCACCCCCACCCAGAGTCCCCCTGCCCCTTCTCTGGCTGTGACTAGGAGAGGCCCCTGCAGAAGCTCTAGACTTGAGTCTGGCCAGTAAAGCCTTCAAGAGCCCATCTTATTTTTTTCCTGGCCTCCAGGAAGATTAGAAATGCGGCTCAGCCCATCTTTCCTCGCTGCCCTTGTCGCGGTCATCCCTCCTTGGCTAGCTGTCCTGGCTTCTCTCTTGAATCCTCCATGCTGCATCCTCCCCTGTTTCACTCTGTGTGGCTCTGGGAGCTGGAGGAGGCAGCTGAGCCAACCTGACGTTGTCCTGTCCACCGACAGCAGGCTGGCCGGGCCCCACACCCAGTGTGAGTGACCTGGAGCGGCGGCGGCTAGAAGAGGCTTTGGAGGCAGCGCAGGGAGAGGCCCGGGGGGCTCAGCTCCGGGAGGAGCAGCTCCAGGCAGAGTGTGAGCGGCTGCAGGGGGAGCTGAAGCAGCTGCAGGAGACCCGGGCCCAGGTAAATGCAGGGACCTGGAATAGCTTCTGGAGGTCCAGGGCTGGACCTTCCCCACTGTGTGCAGACTGGCCCAGGGAACGGTAGAGAAGGGCCCTGGCAGGGGTGAGCTTGGGCTCTGACCTCTCCATCTTCTTCCTTAGGATCTGGCCTCCAACCAGTCGGAGCGGGACATGGCATGGGTGAAAAGAGTTGGGGACGATCAGTAAGTCACATTGGTAACCCTGGGCCCCCTAGGTTTGCCTTTCGTCCCTCCGTGATGTTTGGGAGACCTCCCCAGCCAGCCCTCAGGGATGTAGTGTCTGGGCTGCTGTTGCTCTGTGTGCATCCTTCACAGGAAGGAGGTGGGGTTCTTTTTTCCTTTTTTTTTTTGGAGACAGAGTTTCGCTCTTGTTGCCGAAGCTGGAGTGCAGTGGTGTGATCTTGGCTTGCCGCAACCTCTGCTTCCCGGGTTCAAGCAACTCTCCTGCCTCAGCCTCCCGAGTAGCTGGGATTACAGGCATACACCACCACGCCCAACTAATTTTTTTTATTTTATTTTTAGTAGAAAATGGGGTTTCTCCATGTTGGTCAGGCTGGTCTCGACTCCCAGGAGGTGTGGTTCTTGAGTGGGATCTGGGACATTCCCTTTGCTTTCCTCTGGGGCCCAAGCCTGTATCTTCTGGAGATGCTGGAGCTAAGTGACACTCGGCTGCTTTGTCGCTGTGTCCAGCGTAACATCCCCTGCTGAGCTTTTGGGCCTCCGTAGGGCCCCATTTTCTATTGCAGTGACAAGGCCCAGTGAGTTGGGTTCACCCTCCCCTCCGTAGTGAGGAAGAGGGAGGTGGTGTTTCTCGGGATTTGTTAGGCCTTGTCTGCTGATCTCAGGAGAGAGAAGCCTGAGGCTTAGAGACAGGAGAGGCTTCCTTGGGTTCACACAGCCATGGGGTGGGGAGTTAGAATCTGCTCTGCTGAGGTGCTCCCTTGGAATCCTACCAAGAAGGGGGCAGCAGAGAGTGGCAAGGGAGCTGTGTTGGTGGGGGACCCAGTGTTGGGGCCTCCAGGGGGGCACTGGGCAGCAAGGGAGGAGTGAGCAGCCACCCGGCAACAGTGGAACCTGGTGCCTTCCACATCCGCACTGAACTCACCCTCTCCCACTTTCTGAGAAACAGAGCTCAAACCTCTTTCCGCCTAAGTCCTCTCCCCTAAGATGAGCTGTGTGGCACAGACTCCCTACTCTAATTGGAGGAGAAGACTGAGGCCCAGAGAGGGGCAGGAACCAACCCCCCAACGCACAGCATACCCAGCTCCAGGGCTCCAGAGGTCTCCTGCCCAGCAGGCTTCTTCCTCATCTTCCTCCCAGCCTCTGGCCAACTGGGGATACCCCTCGCCTACCTCCCCACCTTAGGGTGAGGGCTTGGGTGGAGCTGTGATAGCTGGGGAGGTGGTGAGAACGCAGTTTGTGGGACTGGTGGGTGGGACCCCTCGGCTAGGCCTTTGTGGAGAGGGTCCACCCTAGCTTGTGGCTGGGGCTTGGGGCCCATCGTAGCCCATGTGCCCAGACCTGGAACACACACACACACACACACACACACACACACACACACACATTCTCCAATCCTAGCTTGTCCCAGAAGTCATGCTGTAGGGCCCTTTGTGGGTCACTGAACCCAGTCCCCTCTTATCAAACCAACAGTGAATCTCCCTGAATTGGTAGAACTCCAAGGGAGGACATTTTGGTGGGGCTGGAGTCTGGCTTTTCAGGCTTTGAATCCCAGGGACCTTTCTTTACTGACTTGGACTCTACCTCTCTGGATTCCACAGGCTCAGGGGCCAGTCAATGCTGGGAGATAGGAGAGGCGGTGGGTAGAGGCAGAGAAAAGGCAGTGGCTCCCAGGGGCCAAGGTTGTATTTTATGAGTGAAAGGAAGCCCACCCCATAAGGGACTAGGAGGCCGTACCATCCACGCTGCCCATTCTAACAAGAGCAGCCCCTTCCCTCTCTCTCTCCCAAGGCGCCTGCCCTTCTCAGGCCCTTTGGCTGGAGGGAGCTGGGCTCTGCTTGGGGACTGGCCCACAGGCTTACCAGAGGCCACCTCCTGGCTCCTCCCCTCCTTCCCTCTGATTCCGCTCTGCCTCCAGCCTCCCAGATCTCTGCATCTGGAGCCAGCCAGGCCCTGCTGCCCAGCCACACGCTTCCTTTCAGGCCGAGCGAGCATCTCTGGACAGCCCTAGTTTGGCAAGCGTTAATTCTCAGAGGAAGTCCTCACTCCCCCGGTAGTTTTATTTTCTTATAAACTCAGCTCCTTTTGGTAATAGGTTGCTTCCCGAGTGCTCCCTCCCCTGTCCTCCCACCCAAGGAAGCCTCAGTCACTTGCTTTCAGCATTTCTTCCCCCACTAGCGCCCCTCTTCCTTCTGTTTCCACCTGACTTTCCAGGCTGGTCGGAATTTTACAAGTAGGCTTTTCCGGGAGTGGAGTGAGTGTCGAGGCTGGATGACCCAGGTTGGTGGTGTGACTGGGGTGAGGAGGACCAGGATGTGAAGGCTGAGGAGGGGGACACACAATTCCTGAGTTCAGCCCGCTCTTAGGCGGGAGTCTTCTGTATGGTAAATTCTGTATGTATGTATGTATGCCCCCCTGTCTTGGTCTAGACACCTCCAGGGCAGCCAGTTTTATTGCGGGAGTCCTCAAGGTTAACTGCCCCCATCCCCATCTCTATTGATTCCCTTCCCTGGGTCCTAGCCCCAGCCCTAGGGTTTCCCAGTCCCTTCCTTCCCAGCCCCTGGCCCACAAGTTTTGGCCGTTAACGTTCCCATGCAAACAGACACCCAGATCAGACTGAGCCAGACTACTCCCCTCCAGGTCTGACCCCCTGGGAAACCCATGGTTTCGTTAACCTAGCTCCTGGGGACAGAGCCCAGGGAGACAAATTGCCCCAGAGGAAGAGCCACTGGGGGTCACGCAGAGGCCAAAGGCAGTGATGAGGGAGGCAGTGGGAGCAGAGCCCACCCTGCTCCTGAGGATACACAGGGAGGTGAAGACCCCTTGAGGGGGTCGCAGCCCAGGTGGGAGGTGCAGCACCCACAGCCCCTTTCTCTCTGGGCCCAGCTTCCCAGCCTGGGGTTCCAGAGTGGGGCCTTTTGGAGGCTGTGGCCATGCTGAGGGGGAGGGGAAATTAGGAGGGGACTCCTTGAGGGGGATAAAGGCTCTGAGGGGACAGGGGGTCTGTGAGGGGAATGAGGACCCAGTAAGGGTGGGCTCATCTGTGCAGGGTCCATCTAGGAGAAGATGGGGACTCAGTATGGGCGATGAGGAAAAAACTGTAGGCCTTTCTTTCTTCCCAACGCTGGGGGCTCAGCGCTGCAGCCCGGGCCCTTTTCCGCACCACCTCCCCCCCACCCCTCTCTCCACCCACAAGCCTCTGCGTGGGCTGCGGTTAGTGGTGGGAAGAAGTGTGAACTCGAGAGAGAGGATGGAAACTCTGCACGGAGGTCAAGGGCAGCGTGGGGTGGGTCAGGACGGAAGTCGGAGACCCCCGCATACCCTGAGCGTAGCCTCATGCCCCAGAACCAGCAGGCCCAGGGCCTCCCCCTTCACGCTTCTCACCCTCCCTACTTCCTTTCTTTCAAGTCTCCTTCGGCCAGGGCACCCGCGCTGCACTCACCGGAGTTAACCCCTGAGCACTTGCAGCCTCGGGGGCTCCCAGAGCCTGGTGAAGGGCTCTAGGCGAGTCTGAGGGATGTGTGGGCTTTCAGCCCTAGTCCTTGGTGCTTTGCCTGCCAGCAGGGTCGGGGGCAGCTCGTGCCCGCGCCCTCTTCCTCGATGGGAAACGCCCATCTTCCCTCCTTAAACTGAAGCCACTAGGCTGGTGTCTCCAAGAAAAGTCTCAAAGCAAGTATCCCCCTTTCTCCACTTGTCTCCTAGGCACTCCCCTGAACTTTTTTTGTCCATGCCAGACACTATGTGAGCAATTTACCTACAAAATCTCATTTCATTCTCACAAACGCGATGTAGGTATCATCCCCCTTTTACATAGATGAGCAAACTGAGGTGCAGAGAAGTGAAGTAATCTGAGAAGTTCAGTAAGAAGTTCAGTGCAGATGCCAAGTGGGTCCTGAGCAGATGGGGTGATGGCGTCTCGGTGGTGTGTTTCTGGTTCAGGTTCTTCTTCAGGTAGAAGGCCCTTATATGAGGGACGACTGTGTGATTTGTTGACCAGACTGGATCACTTTTGAAACTGAAAGGGGGCACTATTAATAATTATGCTGGGGCGACTAGTGTGAACCGGGACAGTCCTAGGCCAACTGGGATCTCTGGGCACCCCGCCTATGTGGGAACTCTGGTTTCCAGGCCTAGCCCTGAGCTGCTCCAATCAGCTGCATCTGGGACGGCTTTCTAGACCCGGGAGCTCTGGTGGATTGGTGGCAGGGGCTGCCACGAAGAGCCAGGCTTTGGGGACCCCACCAGTCATAGCTGGTCGAGGAGAGTGAAGGGGCTCAAGGCGCCCGAAAGGAAGTGGTGGAGCACTGGGTTGTTGCAAAGCAACTTCCTCCTCCCCACCGGCCCGCAACCTCAAGTCCGCTCCACGGCCCGGTGCCTGTGGTCCCCTCCCCGAGGGTCGGGCGGGAAGACTGATGCTGGGTGTGCCTGTGGGTGGTGGAAAGTTTGGTCCCTAAATTCACCCACAGGGGTGAGGTGGCTGGGGCAGCGGGGGGCAGCTTCAAGCAAGGATGGAAGGGCCCAGGAAGGTTGGATTTCTGTTTTCCTCCCAATTCTGTATCAGACGATGATGCTGACCAGATGAACAGCTCTAAACCTAACCCTAATCCTAACCCTTTTACTGCTCCCATCCCTGACTCTAACCCTATTCCTGATCCTAACCCTCAACTCTGTCCATAATTTTGGCCACGTGCTACATCAACCCCACTCCTAGTCTGACGCTGGCTCCTTTAATCCTGTCCTCAAGGCCGTCCCCAGCTCTAATGCCGTGACACCGTGACACCGCACTAACCTGAATTCTGACCCTGAGGCATCCTCACCTGGCTCCAGGGCAGCACGGAGCATGCGAGATCTCAAGTGTCTTGCAGCTGGTTTGGGCAGAAAGAGGCCTTTTACAGAGGAGGTCGCTCAGGTCACAGACCTTACTGATCTCAGTTGCTTTAACAGTACAATGATGATTATCGTTTCTGGAAAAGTGTGTGAGATCCGTGAATTATTCGTGGAAAGACTGAATGAAAGGATGTGAAGGATGGAATATTCGCAGCCCAGGGGGCCCTCCTTCATGCCAGCTCTGCCATTTGCTCTCTGGCACCTCCGAAGTTGCCAGCTTGAGGTGCCAAGAACCTGCGTTTGAATCTGCTGTGTGCCACTGCCACTCTGTGACCTTGAGCCAGCCTCTTAATTGCTCTGATCTTCCATTTCCACATGTGCCTATCACCCCCAAGGAAGGGGTGGTGATTCTCAGGGCTTCCAGGCCACTGCCAATGTCCCCAGCCCCCGCCTCCTCTTTGTCTTTCCCTTCTGCTGCTGCCTTGCCTTTCCTCTCCCCTCCTTCCCGATTCTTTGGGGGACAGTATAGCATAATGGTCAGTAGCCTGGACTTTGGAGTCTAGGGGACAGAGCTCCCATCCCAGCAACTCCATTACTAGTAGGCTTTGTGATTTTGGTCAAGTAACTTAACCTCTGTAAGCCTCAGTTTTCTCATCCCTAAAATGAAGGTAACAGTCGCAATGTCGTAGGGTTGTTGTGGAGATGAATAAAGTTTTCAGCAGAGTGCCTGGCCTGGGGTGAGCACTCATACAGATCATCTGATTCTTTTCTTTCTGGGTGCCTCCTAGGTTCTGAAAGACTCAGAACTTTTTCCTATCATGTAAGCAATAAAGCAGCATCCAAATGCAGCCATCTGCTGCCATTTACCTGACCCATTCTTCCCAAAGAGTCATGATGGTGAAAAAGCGCTCAGGTGTGGGCCAGGAAGCCAGGAAATGGAATGTGTATTTCGGTGCACGTGTGCAACTCTTGGTTGTGTTGTGAAGTTGAGATTTTTTTTTCCACTGAATTGGCAGTGTTTTCAGTGAGTCATTCAGGTCATTAGCATCTTCAGCGGCCCAGGCCTGTGCATCTTGAGATGGAGAGAGACACTCAATGAAGGGGGAGGTCCCAAAAGGCCATGGGGCATCAGGAGGAGGTCAGGTCAATCACCTTGCATGGGACTTAGCAGTCTTTGTGAGGGTTGCCTGAAGTTCTGAGTGGACAGAACCCCCCTGGCTCAGGCCCCAGGGGGCAGAGCTGGGAGAGGGGCTGGGCATTCTGGGCCAGGGGCTTCTTCCTTCCATTTTTGGCCACCCTGTCTGTTTCACTGTGAGAAAGATGCCAGGGGCTGGGTGGTAGAAACTGGAGTAGCTCCTGACAAGGGGAGGGAGGTAAGCAGGGGAGTGACAGGGGCCTGGGAACTGAGTGTGGCAGGTGAGATTTCTGAGGAGGGGTGTGAAGACAACGACCTGTATCTGTCGCCTGAGATACAGCAGTGAAAGTGGATGGGGAGAGAAGTTTTGGCTGTGTGGATAGAGGACCACACACTGTCTGTGCCCTGCCCAGAGCCCTCTCCTGCCCCTGCTGTCAAGGAGATAGCATGATCCTGCCCTCCGAAAGCCCCCAGTCTGATGGGGGACACGGAGCTCCTGCCCACAGATGTCCTCCGTCTGGAGGGGGAGCCTTCCCTTAGGGAGTCCCCAATTTGATGTGGGACACACCTGGACCTCCCAGTCTGATCGGGGAGACGCCGTTTCTTCCCACAGACCCATGAGCTGAGGGTGAGGGGGCACAGGACACATTTAACAAAAACAAGGGCTGAGATGTGATGGGATGGAGGCCGCAGGGTCTCAGCAGCAGCTTCTAGGACTCTCTGCCTGCCCAGCCCTGCTCACCATCAGATGAGTGGCAAGGACTCTCCCTCCCTAAGAAGAGAGCTGTCTCCCAGAGACCTGGCCCATTTGCAGTAATTTGGCTTTGGCCCAAATGGGTTAAAAATAGTCTTGTGGGAGGGGCAGTTTCGGCCCCAGGATTAGTAAGAGAGAGCCAGTGAGCAGAGCAGGGAGCCTAGTCATCTGCCCTCTCCACTTCTCTTTTCCTGCCCTCTGAAGCCCTAACCTCACGACTTCCCCTCCTCTCCTTTAGGGTTAGACACACACACACACACACACACATACACACACACCCCTATGCTCATTCACCCCTTTCCTCATTCATCAGCCTGGCCTCACACCTGTCTTCACACTCTCCCATCCACATGTCCATCACTATGGGATGGGGATAGGGCCCTCCAGGCTTTAGAACTTGGGCCCCCTTGACCTCTCTGTCCTGGGACAAGACCTCCCCTGAGAGGAGATCTGTGTGGAGTGACACCTGGTATTTTCTCCCAGCTCCAGCTTCCACTAAGTTCCTGAGTCCCTTCTGGAGTTGGAGGTGGGGAGAGCCAAAGAAACCCAAATCTCTGCCTTCAGGGAGATTCAAAGCTCTGTCCATACTCAGAACAGTGATGAAGGCAGGGCCCAAGGGCATGGCAGAGCCTCCCATAAGGTCAGGGAGGGCTCCTGGGACCGCGCAGGCCACAGGGGGAGAAGGCAGAGAGCAGTGGAGTGATGACCTTCCATGGTTCTGGGTTGCAAATGACCTAGAAAGGAGGGGAAAAGGAAGTGGGTGAGGTTCCTTGCCAAGTCTGTTCCAGCTCCATGAGGGTCGGTGCCCAAGATGCCTGAACAGGAAGCAGGGAGGGAGAAAGGGAGGGAGAAAGAAAAATGCAGGGAGAGGCTCAAATGCCTTATCCACTTACTGAACATCTGCTGGTTTCCACGCCCTGGACAAGGTGCTGGGAATATAAATACAATGACATAATCCTCACCATCAAGGAACTCCCCATAAAGTTCTAGAACAAGGCAGCCTTTGAGAAGTGCCCAGTGTGACTGGCACTCCCTGCAAGTGTGCAGTGTACAGCAACTGTTCACAAAGATCTCAGTGTTAAGGCCTTGGTGGAGTTGTACAGCAAGGAGGTCCTGGGAGGGGCAAGGCTGAAAAGAGCCCAGAGGCAGCTTTGAGGTGGAGCCAGGTGCAGTGGACATGGAATTGGGTTGGCTTGTGGTTAAGTTTATCAGTTAGCACCTCCACCAGCCAGGAAACCATCTTCACTTATGGAACGAGCTATTCTATGCAGCAGGGTCCCCAACCTTTTCAAAGGTGAGGACTCTTCATGGATCCCACTCCCAGTACACAGATTATACTTACAACACTTTTAGTATGCACTGCTTGAGAAAATTCACAGTGACAGAAGCTACTATAAATTCAGTACAGCTTTTTAATGAATCCATGCTTCAATTCATCATCACAGCTTTTGCACAGATTAGAAAAACATTCACACATACCTGTATGAGCTGTGTTCAGGCCACGGACAGTGCCTGATGCACGCAGGGATTCAGGGATTTGGAATCTCTGCTCCCTGTCCCTGCACTTAGGCTGGGAACCACTGCCCTAGCCCAGGGAATGGGTCTCAGCATGCTCCCTGGAAGAGGTGGCTTTTGAGCTGGACCTTAAAGGTAGGGAGGATTTCTGCAGTTGGGGTAGGAGCACCCTGCGGGTGGGAGGGAGCATGGTGGGGCCAGATGCTGGGGCAGAGCCAGTTCTTCCTCCACAGCTGGGACGGTAGACTCACTGCCCTTCTTGTCTTCCCCACTGCCCTCTGACTTCAGGGTGAATTTGGCGCTGGCCTACACCGAGCTGACAGAGGAGCTGGGCCGGCTTCGGGAGTTGAGTTCCCTACAGGGGAAAATCTTGAGGACTCTGTTGCAGGAGCAGGCCCGGAGTGGCGGTGAGATGGGGCAGGGCAGGGGAGGCTGCGGCGGGACCCGGGAAGGAGCCGGTAGCCATGGCAACCATCTTGGTCCTGGGAACCACCCTTTATTTCCTTTCCTGTGGCCTGGAGTTGGTGGGCATGGGTCCGGGCAAGCCCCTGGCGCTCCAGTTCTGAAGTCTTCTCTCTGCACTTTTGTCCCCCGACCCCGTCCCGGTTTCTTTTCCAGGCCAGAGGCACTCGCCACTGTCACAGCGGCACTCGCCGGCCCCCCAGTGCCCCTCCCCCTCCCCGCCT